AAAGGTTAGGGCTACAGGCATGTGGAAAAGTAGTGACTTGTCTATTATCATCTATTAAATGGAAATGATGAAAGTCGAAGTCAATCGTTTTGGTTACCTCTAGACTCCTTACAACGAGTGTTACATGAATGATAGACCAACTTAGTGTTGTGTTTTATTATCAGTAAATTCCTTTACCGATCGAGTGTTGTGATAGCACAGCCCTGTATTCAATCAATTTTACTCATTGACTCTGGTGGAGATCCCAGAGTCATGTAGTGGTCACGTTTATGAATCTCTGTTGCTTGCAGTCCACGTATGCTAGAAAGACTTTGATAGAGCGAGCAGATCATCTGCGTATGTAGAAGTATACAATCACCTGATACACACCGAGTCAGTGTCACTGACGCTGCTCTACACATCTACTTACACGAATACCCCAAAGAGGGGTGGTCGATAAAGCAACAATGACGAGATTAGTCAAGGCTAGTAGTTAGTGGGTATGGTCATGCGAGTCCCAGAATATCCTTCTGATGGACACACCTCTTAAGCTTCTGCATAACTGGATTCCCCCCTCCTCGAAAAGTAGTGTAGTGGACTATCAGCAAGGTAAGGCATATTGATTGAAAAGTATACGATGAGTATTGATAATGGTATTCAGACAGGGATAACTTGTTTGATTTGTTCTCATACCGCATTGCGGTCTGAAGGTGTCCTAAGAGTTGGTCATCATGTACCGTATTAGAATCAACAGTCTATTATTTCAGCCCCGAAAGATGATAATACAGTGTTCTTCACAGCCATGGGCTACTCTGGAACACGGACCAAGTATGCTTATCATCATCAAATAGACCGCAACAACATTAGTCTCAATGTAGAGCTTCAGACAGGGATAACTTGTTTGATTTGTTCTCATACCGCACTGCGGTCTGAAGGTGTCCTAAGAGTTGGTCATCATTTACTCTATTCCTTTATTGAATTCAGCCCCGAAAGATGATAATACAGTGTTCTTCACAGCCATGGGCTACTCTGGAACACGGACCAAGTATGCTTATCATCACTATTCTAATCACTTAAGTATGTACCAACTGCGACGTACCCACACAAGCACTAACAAGCTAAGAGAGTATAGCGAGCAGAGGATCTATGTAGCCGTAGGTGAACGATGAGATAGGTTGAAAGGCCCAATCCCAGATGCCTATAATACGGCTGTTCATTCAAGCTAATTCTCAGTACTTCTTAGAGGTTAATTTTACTTCCTCACTAGCAATAGGAGGATTGACAGAAAATATGTCATCATCAAAAGCTTCACATTTAATCAAGGTAATGCATACAGCAGACGAAATTGGACATGAGAAAATCGATTAGCTAATCGATATTGTTCAGTTTAGCTAGTCGGGCGAGCGCTAGTTCAGCTCATTTTTTATCGTTCTCATCCACTTTGACTTTTTGCCGCTGACTGATGACTGACGTCGCGGCAGTGCCGATTTCAGAGCTCCTACACGATGCTGAGAAAGGAGGCTGTCACGCTGGCATCATATATTTACAGCAGATGAGACTTAGGAAAATGGTAGTGCCACTAGGCAACGACAGCGTGAACAGTCTCGTAGCCTACCTAGCTTTGCACAAGTGGGAATACGACACAGAAGTATATAAATTTTATCACGAAGATGCTCAATATTGACTTTGAATTCGGCATGAGATCTCGCCAACTCGGACTTGAGAGTCAATGAGACTCGTCAATTCCCGATCCCCCCCCTCCCGACACAGTCGTGAACTCACTACTCGCTACTTATAAATTCGAATATACTTTGAGCTCAGGAAATGATCAGAAACTCGCCATCACTTTTTGTTCTCATGCTGAAGTAAAAGACTTCTTCTTGTTGTTGTAGGCCGGCTGGCTCAATGAATTTCACCTTTAACGTTTTTTAGTCTCGCAAGCCGTCCACAAGCAAGAGAGTTTTACTAACTCTTTTTTGTGACAATCTTGCACACTTTTCCTCATGGCTTGCAAAATGAATTTCTCTTTCCATAGCCGTACAGTTGAAAATGCCTCGCCCTGTTGACATCCAATCTTGAAACACTTTCTGCTCTCAGGTGGACCCCCATAGCGTTTTGTGTATAGGCTCCCAGCTGTTGACGAAATACTCTTCCAAACTTGGTGATGAAAAATGGCCTGTAATTTCTTCGATAACGATTTTGATCACACTATAGTCAATGCCAGGTGCTCGAGCAAGTACTGCTAGCCTCCTTACAGGCTGGTGCTGACGACTGGAGTGCTTACTGTTTGAAAGCCCTCAAGAAAAGATTCCCGAAATCTCACAGAGTTCAGCGTTTGGTAGGGCAGGTTTGCGAGTATTGCTGAATGAGATCCTCGCTGCGGGCAGGTCGGCCAGTGTAGCGAGGCACGCGGAGATTATGATGCTGCTTTAACGGAATACGAGACTATCATGGAGAACGCTAGCGATGATATGGCTACTGAGAAACGCAAGTTGGCGGCTAAATTGGGAGAAATCGGGGTAGTGTGCGCTCATACCACACCTTGCTCTCATCCTGAATGTCTATTCCTCAGTCTAACACAGCGGCTGGTGTCGAGGCTCTGTCGAACGATGTGTCCAACTTCCAGACTGATCCTGAGTTCTGGCAACAGATGGCGATGGCGTACGCTGGGCAGGGCCAGGCCCGACAGGCTGCCTATTGCTTTGAGGAGGTGCTCTTGGCCATGCCTCATAGCATCTACAACATTCTCACCTATGCAGAGCTCCTGGCCAGCGCGGGACAGTAATATCGTCGGTAGTGTTGTGTTGTGTATGTTGAAGTAATCGATCAGAATCGATGATGCTCGGAAGTACTACTGCTTGGCCCTGGAGCACGATGAGAAGCATGTGAGGTAGTGACTGATGTAGCAGCTGGTCGATTGATGATTTCCCGGAGTTACGGTATTAAAAATCTCTCCGCGGTTTTCGGCTGAAGCCAACAGATGATAGCAATTTGATTACTTGTAAGGTAGTTGGTTTTAGGGCACCAGCACTTGCCCGATTTTTCTCCATTTTTTAATTGAAATTTTTTCCAAGTTGAAGTGGAATAGGAACTAGTTGCTGTGTGTTCAGAGCGTTGTGGGGTTTGCTGTCTACCATACCACCTAAGGTCGACAACAAGACTGAGGCCAAGCTCCGTAACCTCACTGTGGGCCGTCTGAGAGCTATTTACAAGGAGCAACCGGCGAACTCTACCAGAACTGCTATGCTAGAGCTCCTGGCGTAGCTGTTTGTCACTGTTGAGTCGTACAGTTTCTAATTACACTTGCTGTTGGGTTTAACATTGCAATGGCATTCACGTCGTTTTATCCGGGGATGACGGAAAGCCCATTAGTAGCAGCTGAAAGTTAATCGTGCGGCAATTTGTAGAATATGAGGTCGGCAGAGAACCTAGCAAATTGTCATATATGGGGAAAGCATATTAGTGCGAGTAGTCTTGTATATTGGAGTTTGACGGGCGAGAACAGCTGCTGTTCGGTTGAATATGGCTTGGACGTGGGCTTGGCCGAGCACAAGGATGTCGTTCAGTTTCTTGTATGGAGTTTACCTCTTACATGCATGCTCGGTCTAAGGGATTACTAATTATCGTTGAGACCTTTCCGCGGGCTCCAATGGTTGAGCATTTAGTTTACTAGACTTACTCTGCTGAAGTCTGCTTATGTTCATAGTCAGTGCTGATGGAAGAGCGGCTGTTGTACTCTTCGTGTGAATCGAAATGAGTTTGGAAATTCTATTCATATGCTATGAAATGCGCTTAAAAGGAGTGCAACTACAGCAGCTGTGCAGTGCATCGCTTTATCTGCTATACAAGGCGT